CTCATTTTCAACCACACATTCTTCAATAAAATAATATTTTCCATCACATCAATAATTTTTTCTTCTTTTTCAACCACACATTTCCCATCATATCACTATTCAAAAATCAATTCTTCTCCCAAAAATTCCTACCAAACAGGCTCTAAATAAAGAATATTTGTATCCCTATATATACATGCTTAAACACAAATGCACGCTATATTGCCCTTTCGTCTCATAAGAATAAAGTATTTGGCAGTTTCACAAAATCGGATGCGTTTGATTGCAACGGTGAAAAATGGATTGAAAGAAAATAAATTTCAGAAAAAATAATTGCCTAAAATTTATTTTGCAAAAAATTGTTAATTAAAATGTGTTTGATTAGTATAATTTTTCACCAAGAAAATTTTTAAATTTTGCATTCGTTTGGCCTTCGTTTGCATCAAAATTGTCCATTAAAGTGATAATTTTTTCCACACTTGGTTATAAAATTTGTTTCCATTGTCAAAAAGTAAAAAAAAAAAATGAAAAAAAAAGTTACATAAAAAATTATTTTTTTAATCAAAATTTAATGTTCGTTTGACATTCGTTTGAATCAAAATTATCCATGAAAGTGAAATTTTTTTTATGCTTGGTTATGAAATTTGTTTTCATTGCTAAAAAAAAAATGACAGACAGATCAGAAAACCTTTTCCCACCTAAAAAGATGGGAAAACCTTTTCTTCTCACGCCAAGAATAAGGCGCGTGTGTGGAAAATAATTGGCACAAATTCCAGGCAAAAAGTTGGGCATCAAACAATACATTTACAAGAAAAATGAAAAGAAATTCCATTTTCTATGGAATCGGGGTGTTATCAAACACACCCTTGGTAAGTTCCTAAACCACTACAACTAAGATGAAATGTTACTTAGCTACCCCGGAAAATCCAGTCTCCTGAGTCCAGCCACAGCAAAAGCCCGACGAGTGCTCAGCCAGCACAGGCAGAAATATCTATATATAGCAGTGTTCTAAAAGGCGCCAAA